ATGAACTGTACATTAATTGACAGAGACACATTTATACAAGTGTGAGGAGGTTCCTGGTTTGATTCCCCGTCTGACAGGAGCCTCTCTGTGTGGAGTTTGCATGTTCACCCCATGCATGTGTGGGTTCTCTCCGGCTTCCTCCCACAGTCCAAAGACATGCTCGTCAGGTTATTGCTGACTCTAGTCTAGAGTGTGGCTGGTTGTCTGTCTCTATATGTCAGCTCTGTGATTGACTAGAGAACAGTCCAGGCTGCAACCCTGCCTCCTGCCAAGGACAAATGGGATCTGCTCCAGCCCCTGCAACCCCGAACTGGAAAAAGCCTTATAATAGATAATAGATGGATTCGCTCCCATGTATGCTGAGATTGATGATCGTATAGTGGTATATACAGTTGTTTACTGCAGGGTAGACGCAGCTATACAATGTAATCCCACTTGTATTTTCAGCCTCCAAAGGCTTACCCACTTCTAAATCCTCTCGGATTCACACCATTTATTGATTGACAATATTTACTAGTATGCTGCAAAGGAGGGTCGCCCCTCCTTACTCTGTCTCTAAATGGATAGTACACATTAACTAAATATGCAAGAGGAGTCTTAAATGTCACTGTTTATAACAGAGGCCGTTTATCCTCTGCTGGAAGGGACACTTTTGGGTAAAAATTAATAGTATACACTTTTCTTCAGACACCACTATACCACTGGGTATAGATAGATAATGGATGGATGGAAAATTTTGTGAATTTGAGCCGTTGCTCTTCTGAAAGTCCTCTGCACGACCTTGGAGAGAAGGTCATTCTCTGTGTTTATAGAGACAGAGATATACGGCAGTGATTCTGACACAGCTGATCTCCATTAAATGGATCAAAATGCCAAACTGTGCCACGCTGCAGGAACCTATTCCTCCACAGCCCTGTTGTTTACTTTCAGGTCATAGTGCAGCATTAGACCCGTGTTCACCTAGCGTTTTTTCCGGGGAGAAAAGCGCTGGCTGTGCGCTCAGGAGTGTATGTATTAAGTGTGTGTGCGCCGAAAAGAAAAGCGTTGCACGTCCGTCCTGTCTCTATGACAACAGTCTGCTGACAACATCTGCTGTATGACCTACACTGCTCCGTTACTTTTTACTGCATGTTTAATATTTGAGATCGTTTATTCCCCAATCAGACACGGAGCGAGGAGGATGCGGGGAATGTCATACATTTAGAAAAGAGCGCTGGCAAAAAATTTGAAAGATTTTTAACTTGAGCGCTCAGAGCAGCCGCACAAAAAAGATAGAGCTCTCGGAAGAGAAAAGACGCTGGACACTGCACTTTTTCTCCAGGCTTCCGCTTTCTGCTGCAAACGCTCTCTACTCACTGAAAACAATTGAAGAAGACGCTGGGGCTCAGAAAAAAAAATGCTAGGTGGACACGGGGCCTAACACGCCTAAGTCTTATCCTCAGAGCGTGCCACCTTTTTTGTGTGGCTGCTCTGAGCACTAAATTTGAAAATCTTTCAACTTTTCAGAATGCCGCTGTTGACATCACCGGCACTCTTTCCAAATTGTTTGATATTCCCCGTATTTTTGCCGCCTAGAGATCGCGTCTCTTGTACCCACATCCTCCTCGCTCCGTGTCCGATCAAGGAATAAACGACCTCAAATATAAAACATGCAGTAAAAAGTAACGGAGCAGTGACTTGCAGCGCTTTTCTTCTCAGAGCACAAACGCTTCATGCAAACACTCCCGGAAAAAACGCTATAGGTGGACACTGGGCCTTAGTCTCCTGTTGCAACAAAGTGCTGGCAGTAAAAAGAAATGAAAAGTCACATCACAAAGCACATTTCAATTCAATGTCTTTATTTATCGCGCAACATAAAACAATATTGTGGTTTTTTTTACCACATACACTATGTATTCACATAATACACCATACAGCTACAAGAGAGAGAGACTGAACAAAAACACTTTTTTTTTTTTTACATACTGCATCCTTGACATGAAAATAAAGAACCAAAATAACAATCCTAAAAAACTCAAAGAGGAATGTAGCTGCCACTTGTGTAGGTTCATTTGTGTATTTCTTTTTCTTCTCATATGGGCCTGGGTCCTAAGTCTTTCATCCCCCAAATTTTTGAAAAGTGTTCATAAATTAAGGTGTTTTAAAAAGCTGGCCATACACAGTGAGATGCAAATGTGATGAGTGTGTGTGTGTGAGACTAAATGTACAAGGTGATAAGAGAAAAGGGGGGGATGTGAGTAAAAGGAAGTGCATGTGTGGGGGAGAGGACGAGGAAGAGGGAGGCAGTACACAGTTGCTCTTCTCATATTGTTCAAATATCTTAGCATTCAGTTACCATGAACATGAACATCTGAAATAACTCAAAAGGTTATTTCAGAAGCGTTTGGTACTTGCACCGTGCCAAACAGGAAACCCAGATTAACAGTCTTTGTGGTTACATGATTCCATATCTCACCCTGGTTTTTAATGAGTTCAAGTACAACATGGAATGATTATTAAGAGAGAGAGGGAGAGAGGATGTAATGAACCTTTTTGAGCGCGCCTCCCCCCCTCCCCCCCTCAAAAAGAGATATCATTTAGTATTTAGCGTTGTAACAAAAGACTTTCCCCAAAGTCAGCACCGAGGCAGCTTCACCGTCGACAAACTGCGTAGACTCTTCTTGACATTCCAAGAGCTCAGAAAAATATTTGTGGTCGTCGATTTTTTATCCCCTCACATTTTTTTTTATTTTCTATTTTTTACACAGTGAGATTTGTAGGTTGTAGCTTCATAGCACCAGCTGAACGACCCGCTCGGGAGGCGTCGCTTCTCATGAGAAAACCAGCCACCGAGCTAGTGAGACATTTAAGAATTTACAGAGTTATTAAGATATCAAGTACACTGTATCCTCAGCACCCATTGTTACAGTAGGCTTGTGTGTGTGTGTGTGTGTGTGTGTGTGTGTGTGTGTGTGTGTGTGTGTGTGTGTGTGTGTGTGTGTGAAACCTGGGCCGTGCAGTCTAAAAGTCAAACGGGCCACGTTGCTGCACCAGTCAAACGACGGGTTGGACGTGATGTGAGTATCAAATGATGAACATAAACTAAAACATGTCCTCCTTTTTGTACCAAGTGCATTCTTACTATTCTGAGAACTAGAGTAGATAATAATGATAGATACGTCTAAACAAGCAGGGAGGAAGTCTCTTACCTGATAATCTAACACAACTGACAAAAGTAGGCGGGGCTATAAACCTCGGAGCAACCTTAACTAGAGTATCCTTTTTGATTTGTGTCCTGCTCATGGTCTGTGGTTACACTGAGCAAAGAGCATCGCACTGAAGAGTTTTTGGAAGTTTGGAAATGTGAAACAGAGACAGCACCTAGTAAGCCGAGCTCGGCAAAACGACGAGGTTGAAACGAGGGAGAAGGTCGAGCGTAGCTGTGAGCGAAGGCACAAAATCCTCCCACCAAAGATCCACACAACGGGAGTTAAATGTCTTCGCTGGACGCGGTGACTTTCTGTGGATCGCTGCTGGTCGTTATGGTAACTGGGAGGAGTAATGTAGCAACACGACTACTACGATGAAACGACCTCTTCACATGCTAAGACGTATATGAAAAGTCACTTTAAAGGTCCAGGTGTTTGTGTCGATGGAGCAAGGGAGTGTTGAAGTCAAAACCAAGACTAACCCAGACCAAGACTAACCCGAGACCAGAGTACTCTGAGACCGAGAAGAGACCAAGACCAAGGCAAGGTGAGACCGAGATAAGACTGACACCCGAGACCAAGAAGAGGATATTTAGGGGTCGAGACCAAGACCAAGACCAAGACCAAGGCAGGGCGAGACCGAGACAAGACCAAGACCTGAGACCAGAGTGCACCGGGAGCAAGGCCAAGACCAAGACCAAGACCAAGACCAAGACCAAGACCAAGACCAAGACCAAGTCCAAGGTAAGGCTTAGGGATCGAGACAAGACCAAGACATTTAGGGATCGAGACCGAGTCAAGACCAAGACCAAGACCAAGACCAAGACCAAGACCAAGACCAAGACCAAGGCAGAATGAGACCAAGACAAGACAAGACCATAAATATCACTGAAAAATCATCATCTTGTGTGCAGGGGGCGGAAGGTTGCGGCTGTAACCGGAGGAGTTTTCCTTCTAATCACAGGAGTGATGTGGATAAATAGGCGATCAGTGGCGGTCTTGATTTAAAATCCAGAGTCCATCGAGTCTGAAACCAGGACAAACCGAGTAAAAATGCTTTTGATCCCAAGACAAGACCTTCAAAAAGTGGTCTCAAGTCCGATTTCAAGTACCACAACACTGGAGTGACGCTTCTCGTCTTCTAGAGTCTCTATGCTTGGCTCGACTAACCAGCTGCTGGCTTCAGCTCCACATTCAGCGGACTAACATCAGACAACCCGTCAATAAACGTGTTCTTCTCCCTTTAAGCAACAAGCAGCACATGCTCCTTCTACATGTGTCCCTTTGTTCACTGTGCTGGAGTACAACAGAACCAGGTTGATTTAACCGCCTTTAAAAAAAGTCAGAAACTTCATGGCTGTCTAGTAGAAAATCTCAAACTGTAAAATTCATCTGGTGTTAGATACAGGGTTCAGGGGTCAGGGTGACAGGTTGAGTTAGGTATAGCTTCATGTTACATAACCGGGCAAACGAATGTGTTGTTAGAAAGTGACAGGTCAGTTACATGCTGTCAAGGGCTACAGTACTCAATAAAAGCGAAAACAGCAGTGTAACTAAGCACACAAAGTACACACAACACGTGGAGACCCAAGTGTTGGTGACTGTCGTTGAGGGTCGTCAAAGACTTCAAAATACCCCATTGTCATTCACGGTTTAGTTACTATCCTCACCAAGTTAAATAATCTTACCTAAATATTTTAATATTTACATTTCTTATCTCTCTTGTGAGAAAATAAAAAAACAAACAAACAAAATAAAAAACCCTTAAGCTTCAAGTTGTCAATAATCGGCTCTTTCTTTTTGTCATTAAAATCAAGATTAAAAGTGCTTTTATAAATCTTTTCTTCTCTATGTACAATTTGTATTAGCTATATAAAAAAGATGAAAAAAAAACAAACATCAAAGACAATCATCATCATCATCATCATCATCACCATGTAGTAATAAATAAGAGTAAAAAAACAAAAAAACAAAAAGAGAACAGGTTCAAATGAGTGTGGTGATCTTGAGCACACAAAGGGTCATAATATGTGTTGATTCTCCGCCCTCAGTAGCAAGTTGTGATTGTGACCAGTGTCTCTACAGCGTGAGGTAGAGAGCTGGAGACCCCCCCGGGGGAGAGGTAACAGGGTCTTTCACAGACGACCAGGGGTCATGACCCCAAACCCTAACAACCACCCGGTATCAAAGGAGGGAGCCTGCGTCCAGATCTGGGAGTTACTCACTTTTCATTTTCAACGCTTCAAACCATGAAACCGTTTGAGTCAAATAGTCGTTTAGTTGATGGGGTGAAAATGAAGGCTATCAAATAGGCTATCAAATAGTCTCTCTCTTTGGCTCTTCTCTTTCACTCACACACACACAAACACACACACGTACACACACATACACACAAAGTGAGAGATCCATCTGCATTTGGCGCTAACTCCCAGAATCCGTCATTTCCCAAAGTTTGCCCTCAACTCTCAGTACTTTTAGTTTTTTTCTGAATGGGTTGAAATGGTTTCAGTGACTGTGCTTTCGTTACCTCGACAGTGTGTCTTTGAGGCTGAATGCATTTGTCATTTAAAAAAATAAAAATAAAAATGCATAAACATCTAACCAGTTCTCAAGTCCAAAGAATTAGCTTTGTACCCGCAGGGCAGCCGCTTACAGGCTGGCTGGCTCTCTGGAGGTCAAGGCGCCCCCGCCCCGCTCTGCTTGAAGATGACAGCACCATGCAGAGGAAGAGGCGGGCCCTTCACTGGTTATCAAGTGTAAAAAGGACAGCACCAGAGTTTGTGTAGGAGCACCAAAAGCACCGCTGTCCTAACACTGTTTCCTTTGCCTTTTTAACCCAGGCTTCCCAAAAGCATCTCCAGACTATGCTCACACAGACAAGGATAAACCACGGCCTTGCCCATCACTGGTCAGCAAACAGGGTCTGATACCCCCCTCTGCTGGCCGTGGATGGTTAAAACAGCAAGGTGAGGCTCTACTGGCTTCAGAGTGGAATCCAAGTCTCTGCTGCCCTCTAGAGTTCACATTTGGGAAGTGCTCACCTCTACTTGAACGTTAAAGGAAGGTTAAGTTGCCATGTTTTTTCATTTCTGTGTGGTATTTGCAGATCTAGTTCAAATGACATTTGCAGACAGTATCATTTGTTTGAACCTCTGATGAGTACCAGATGTGTGCACTTTAAGAAATAGAGAATACATGGCAAAGATGAGTATCTATACGGCAATTCATTATACTCTTCTTTGCATGAGAAATGTCCAGCTCATGCGTCTTAATGAAGGAATCGATCCAATCATCACCATCTGGTACTCACTCCAGGTCAAAACAAAGACATATACGCAAATGCTAGTTGAGTCAGATTTAAAGAGTTAAAGCACCGAAGTTCAGCATCAAGTGCCATGAAGAGAAGCAGAATGAGAATCATTCAGGGTTGAAAGTTGAGCACCAGTCGAAAGCTGTGTGTGTGTGGGGGTGGGGAGGAGAGGGGGTGCACAGAATCAGAGAAGGAGCATCATCTTACAACCAGAACAGCAGCATTAGTTTCTCCCAGTATCAAGTAAAGGACAATAACAATTAGTTTCTCACCGGGCATCATATTCACATCTGATGGAGCTTGATGATTTGTTTATGACTAAAAAGTTCAGTTTCGGCCTTCACTCACAGAAATACAGGAAAGTAGAATCAAATGTCTGCTCTTATGTTTCCTCCTACCATTTAAAAATGGAACAGTAAACCTGTATCTTATACTCGATATCGGCGATTGGAAAAAAATCTGAAATTACAGTTTTTGTGAGTTCGAGACAAAAGAGAATGATTTTGAAAAAAGGGTGTCTCAGTACAGTGAGTCTGTCTTTGGTGTGTTAGACAGCAGAGCTTCTGGTGAAGTCCAGGAGTTCCCAAACTGGGGGTTTATGTTGCAGGGGTGCAGCAGGGGCTTGACCCAAAGGCACCTGGACTTGATCTTCAACCGAGTCCAGTTACCTTTGGATCAAGCTTTGGATAAAGAGTCACACCATCATCATATGGAAGACCTGCACCGTGCACATAGCCACCAAGATGAGGGAGTTTGTTTTGCAAAGGGGGTCTGATGCTGGGTTTTAGTGTATCTGTGTGCATGTTGAGGGGTGAGGGGGGTCGGCAGAGAAGGTTAAAGAACCAGTGGTCTAACCAATGACCACTGGAGAAGGTTTAGTTTTGTACCCAGGTGAAAAATAATAGCTCTAGTCCTTTGTGAAGGCCTTAAATCTTTAAAAATTAAAGCTACATATCTTCATATTGTTCATATAGAGATAGATATCTAAGCGTAATAAAAAGGCTCTTTTTTTATAAGTTCCGTATGATTACTGAAATATTGATTTAGCTGTTCGGCCTGACAGACGTTTGCTCCTCCTCGCAGTACAGCTGGAAGATTGACAAGAACAATTCAAATCAAAATAGAAAACAGGGTACACGTTTTCCAAACATGGAAAAAAAAGCAAAATGTCTGAGTCTGACAGACGCAGACTGATTGATTTAAAAAAATATATAACCAAAAAAAACAATCACGTCATTAATAATAACATTAATGAAAACAGCAATAATAAAAACAAACAAGTCTTCATTATAATACCTGTAATAACAACATTGACAGTAACAATAGCAATCATAATAATATTGATAATAGCAATAATTAAGAATCATTAAAATTCTATAAACAAGAAAAAAAAAAGCAATGGAGTTCCTCTCCAGGGAAGAGAAGAGGAAGAGCACCACAGGCAGTGTGTTTGAAGCCCAAACCACTGCCTGACATGAGGTAAAAACAATAAAAACATCCCTCCAAGTGGACTACGGAGGGGGGCAGGATGGAGAGGCGGCAGGCGGCTGGATGGCTGAGAAACATTCACCCTGCTCACCACGCTCTCTCCGGGGGCCTCCACTGCACCACCCTGTAGCTGTCAGTCTGTGTTTGTGTGACCTCAGACAAAGTGGCTGTAGGGCCCGGTGAGGCGGGTGAAGGCATAGGGAGACACAGTAACCGTAGAGTTGGTATGGAAAGTGGGGGCTAATCGCGTCACTGGCCCCTCCCTCTTGTCTTTAGATTGTCCGGGTCCTGGACTTGCACCTGCCACCGTAGCCCCCCACTTGCGCTTCTTGCCGAGGGCCTTGATGTCCTCCTGGGAGAGCCCGAGGAGCGCCGCTTCCTGCTGCCTCTGCAGAGCTCGCTCCGCCAGCAGCTTCATCTTGGCCTCCCAAATAGCCAGGCCGTGCACGGGCTGGTTGAGGTTCTTGTGCTGGTAGAAGACCAGGGAGATGCGGGTCGGGTGGGAGCGGTCCGGCTTTTTGAGCGGAGTGGTGGCGTGTAGTTCCCGACGTGCACATTCGATCAAGATGGAGCCGTGGGCCGGGGCAACTGCCACACCACCGATGTTAGGATCCAGGAAGTTGTGCTCGCTGTCGGACCACACCTCGTCATCGTCCAACTCGCGGCCCTTGTGGTTCTCGGCGTTACTCTCCGCTCTGCCGGGGTTCCAGCAGGCCTGATCCGACTGCTGCAGGGCGTCGGGGAAGAGGCGACCCTCAGGGGCGGGGGATGGGGTACTGCCTGCCACTGAACCCCCGCAAGATTTCCACGCCTTCTCTTGGAGCCCAAGAGGAGTCGAACAACGACTTTCCCCCGTCTTGGACCAGATCTTGTCCGGGTAGGCTCCTGCGGGATGGCTGTGCTTCAAACCGGGGCTGTACGCCATGGTCCCCATGCCCCAAGCATTCGGCTGGGGACTGGGAGCGGGACTGGCCCAGTGCCTTGGGGTGCCTGGGCCTGGGGTGCCTGGCTGTGGTGTGACTGAGCCTGAGTGAGAGCAACCAGGGGTGCTTGGGCGTGGGGTGATTGAGCGTGTGGATCCTTGGAGATGAGGGGACGGAGACAGAGAGCAAGGTACCTGTAGTGAGGGCGATGGGATGGGTGAGGTCATCATGGCGTTTGAGCCATGGTACGATGTCCACTGCTGGGGGTAAGGGGAGGGCTGCCTCTGTTGGGAATGCTGGTGAAACTGCTGCTTATCCGGATTCAACAATGAGCTATCAGGGCTTGGTTTGGGGTTCAAATGGCCTTCCCAGTTGTTGGGAACGATACTCCCATTGAGCTTGTGTCCTGGCCAGGCCGAGGGCTGGAGGGTAGTGCTGGGTGTGTTGGCACCGGCCTGGCTGCCTTCATACACCGGCATGTCCATAGGTTCCTGCTTGATCACTGGAGTGCCCCTGTTGGAGGGTTCAGAAGAGACGGAGGAAGGACGGGATTGGTTGTAGTCTGCGGGCTGGGTGTAAGCGCTGTGGTTAAGCTGGTTGGCTTGCTCTGGGTGGCTCGGGTAGGACTGGGCGAGTCTAGCCTGAAGGCTCTGAAAATCAGGCTTCACGTCCACCTGCTCGGCCTTGATGCCGGCTTTAAGCAGAGAGCCATTTCGACCCTCGTAGGTCCTTAGCTTAGGGCGGAAAAGTGCGTTGGGGGGGTAGTTGTAGTAGCCATAGTGCAGATTGTGATGGTAACCGTTAACCGGGTCTGGTGCAGAGGGCTGGCCGGTCGGGGGGTGGCCTCCCCTTGCATAGTAGGCAGCGTGTGGATAGATATTGTTGAAAGGGTCTGCTGCCTGCACGGGGTATCCATCCATTGATCCGTTGAAGGGCTCTTTCTTGATGTTGGGCTTCACTTCCTGTTTGATAATTGCTGAGTGTTTGAAACAAAACGAAAAGTTGTTAGAAAGTGAACGTCGACTGCATGTCAGTTTTTTTATATTTTATGACTTCTATCAAAGTTCTTATACCTACCAGCTGAGGGTTTCGGCTCTAGTTAAAGGCACTTTAGATTATAATTTAAATAATGTGCCTAACGGAGAAGCAGCGTTCGTTTCTATGCTCCTTATATCTGGAACAAACTCCCAGAAAACTGCAGGTCTGCTGAAACTCTCAACTCTTTTAAATCCAGGTTGAAGACACACCTGTTTACAGCTGCCTTTCATGAAACAGCTTTAATAAGATTTTAAACTTAAACTCTGCACTGTAACTTTTAACTCTTTTTATATTTTTACTTTATTTATTTCAATTAATTTCACTTGAATTATTTTTATTTGAACATATTTTCAGATTTAATAATTTCAGTGATTTTTAAATGTTCTATTTTAATGTTTCTTTTCTTTCCTCTGTCATGATGTGAAGCACTTTGAATTGCCTTGTTGTTGAAATGAGCTGTATAAATAAACTTGCCTTGCCTAACAGTCAGGACATGTGTTGGTTACAGACAAAGTATAATATCGGTTTTAAGACCCAAAACAACACAACATTAAGTTACCTTTATTGCCTTGGGGTTGAGGGGAAGCCGTGATGCAGACCTCAGCCTTGACCACAGTTTTCTCTGGAGTCTCGCCCGCCTGCTGCAGGAGTTTGTTTTTCTTCTTCTCTGAGGTCGCCTTCTTGGCCTCCAGGCGGCGCTGTCTGCAGGACTTGGCAGGTTCGGGCAGCTTGCGCACCTCACGGCGGAAAGCCTGCAGCACCTGAATGGCTCCCGTCTGCATCTTGAGGCGCTGGGCCTCCTCGCTGCCGAACTCATCCGTCACAGACATCTTGTACAGAGGCAACACATGGAGCTGCTCGTCCTCAGGGATCCCTTTCACTGCTCGGTTGTCTTCCTTAGTTAAAGTGCACACCTGGGTGGATGAAGGGAAGGGAGCGGAACATGTAATGTAAGACTGTTCTTAGGCAGCACATGACACAACAGAACGCAGTTTTAAAGTTATCTTACCACTGTGCAGCCGTTGTAGAGATTGTGTTGATCCTTATGAGCATGGGCACAGAAATCCATACAAGCAGTGACTCCAGAGAACGGCCGTCCTTCCTTCAAGCCGAGTCTGCAGTCTGGAGCTTTCTCCTCTGACTGACACTGATGAACAGGACAGAGATAACTTTGTTTACATGCATTCATTTTGGATACGCCCCCTTCTTAAAGGCAGCACTTCACATGTTATTTTTTTCAACACAACATGTTAAGTCCCTGCTCATTTGAGTATTTTCAGATTCTCTCTTCCTCTCTTGCTAAGAGGTGGGAACTTTTTGTAAGTTATGTGCCAAGTTCTTCATAGTCTGCTTTTCAGTGAGGCACTTAAAGCAGACTATGAAGATGACGGGTGTAGCTGGTGCTGCTTCAGTTTGTCACTGTCTAAAGGTTCAAACAGTAAATATTATATATCATACAGATATCATATTATCCCATATGCTCTTTTGTGGGGTGCCACAAGGCTTGATCCTTGGTCCTTTACTCTTTCTTATTTATATCAATGATTTATATCTGATCTCAATACAAAAAAAAGCTCATACATGTTATTTATACCCAGAAACCTACATACCAAATTTACTTTTCCCAATGTATATATTGCCAATAATATCTCAGAAAGGGTAACCCTTTCAGGACATCTTTTTCTCAATTCTCTATCAGATTCAGAGGACCTCATTGTTGGAACAATTTACCCAATCATATTAGAAACAGCACCAGCCTCAACTTATTTAAAAAACAAACCATTTATTTCCTGCTTGGCCAATTAACTAATGCACCATCATAACCATTCTCTGCCATAAGAGCTTATTTTCCTTTTTCCCCTCTTCTTTAAGATGTCTCTTGTTTTGCTTTCTTTTACACCTCATTGAGTATGTGTTCTTGTTAGCTTTATTGTTTTTGCTTTGACGACATTAATAATATGTCTGTGTTACATGTTTCTCTTTAGGAGGGCCACTCGACAAGCCCCTCTGGGTTTATTTGGCTCCTCCATCACATTTCTTTCAAAATGTATATTTTGTTAATTAACTAATCATTATGTACTGTCTGTTTTTCCATTGATCTATTATGTTTGTTTGTTTTGTTTTGCTTTTTAAGTGCAATAAAATGAAGAAAATAATAATAAAAAAATAAAAGCGTCTCCAGATAACGCTTGTTATGAATTGGCCGCTTTACAAATAATGACTGATTGGTTGATTGTACAACAAACCTGGTTACTGTAAGCCTGCGGAGCCAGTTGCTTGTACAAAGGAGCCACCTCAGTTGCCAGATGCTGGAAGTTATCCCTGAGTTTGTCCTCCTGATGAAGAAGAAAAGAGCATTGAAATGGAAGCTTAAATAACATGTGGTTAACAATGGTATAACAATGGTTAGATATCGATGTGATGTGTACCTCTTCAGGGCGATCTCCTTGTAGCCTGAACTTGCGCGGCAGTTTACTCCGGGCGTACTTGCAGCCGTTGAAGTACATACTCCAGGAGCAGCCGAAGGAGAAGGAAGCACCACAGGAGTCAGGGTCCTTGCCTTGGCATGCACAGGTTCGACTGCAGGGGGAGAAAGTGAGCAGGATCAAAGTTTAATACATGAACGATTTGTAAACCTGGATGCTTCACATCATTATGTACACCTCGTTATCTGTGCAGAGAGCGATAAAACAACATAGCAAATGCCAACTAGGAAATTAGCATTAATGTCACAGCAGCATGTTTTTAGTCTCCGAGTTATTTATATGCAGCGTGCACAGAACAGGTCCCACCCCGGCCTAACAAGACCAACAACAACCCCTTGACTGCATATACAAGCATACTCAAGCAGAAGTGAGTGTCAAAGAAAAAATCGTCACCATGTGTACAACCTATCCCACCAGTTTTTATTTTACATAATTTTGTTACTATACTGTCCCCATGTTTTTCTTTGTCCTGTTTGCTCATTTATTTATTTTGTCCCTCTTTCGAATTAATTCATTTTATATACTGACCCTTTTCCTTTTGTTTTGTTTGTTTGTTTGTTTTTGTCTAAATCTGCTTAAAAAACTGTATTGTACCACAGTTCCCCTCTTGTTTGTATCTCTTTTTTTTATTGTGTGAGTGTGTGTATGCACATTTTGGTGAATACAATAAAAAAATAAGAGTAAGGTGACCTGCTCTTTTAATGAAGTGTCTTGAGATAACATTTGTTATGAATTGATGCTCTTCAAATAAAGATTGATTGAATATATTTTTTCTTGAGGGCTGCGCAGTGGTGCAGTGGTTAGCGCTGTTTCCTCACAGTGAGGAGGTTCCTAGTTTGAATCCCCGTCTAACAGGAGTCTCTCTGTGTGGAGTCTGCATGTTCTCCTTGTGCATGTGTGGGTTCTCTCCACGTACTCCGGCTTCCTCCCACAGTCCAAAGACATGCTCGTTAGCTTAACTGCTGACTCTAAAATTACCCGTAGGTGTGAATGTGAGTGTGACTGGTTGTCTGTCTCTATATGTCAGCCCTCTGATTGGCTGGTGAACAGTCTAGGGTGTAACCCCGCCTCTCGTACAATGACAGCTGGAATCAGCTCAGGCCACCCCCTGGACCACGAACTGGAAAAGCGGTATAGCTAATGGATTGATGGATAATGGGACTTCATATTTAAATTAATATGACAGCTCTTGTAAGTAACTTTTTTCGACCGATGCATTCATCATGAAGGCCACAACACGTCTGTCTAATAAAGTTGATCTTTATACTACAAAGTGCTGCTGGAGCTTTTTGACCTCTTCAAGCCTTTTACTCTTCATGCACTTTGATAGTCGGTGAAGTTGCGCCAGAGAAGCCGACTCTACTTCTCCAGCTTCTGTAGGTAATCCAGTTAAGGTTAACAAGTAACAAAAGGGACTCTTAATTTTGAAAGTTAAAAACGTAAACATTTAGGTTGATCACAGTTATGACTCTGATTTCTGTCTAGAAGTGAGAAAAGGGAAAATGTTTGATGCCATGTGGATCACCTGTTGTCCAAAAGGAATCAGGAGTGAAACTTTTTAAAACAAGAGGGTTATTTGTGTTGTCTCTGGCTGAATCATCTGGTGTGTAAGATTTAAAAATCGTCCATAAACCTGTAGGTGAGAAAACCAGCATCATCAGATACTCACTCATCATTGAGGCCGCAGCGTCGGCTGGTGGGGTTGCCGAATTTGGTGAGGGTGTTGCTGAGCTCCCGGTACAGCTTGTCGGCCAGGGGCTTGGGGACGCCCTCCCAGGCCATGATGAGGATGATGATGACAGCATTGGCACAGTGGTGGCCGGCGCGATGCCGCACCAGACACAGCAGCTTCTCTTTCTCGCCGCTACGGCGGATCACCTGACGGAAGAGCAAGCTCAGCGTTATTTGATGTTTATCTCATGTAGGAGAGGTCCGGCATTGAACCACCACTTCAACCTATAAATTCCCCAATCGCTGATCGTAATTCAGAATAAACCAGAAGAAGTTCTGATCCATTCTGTGTTTACAGCATGTGTTATCTGTTCTCTAGAGATCAGACACATCTAGACTGTGTCATACAGGGAATTGTTGTGATGTCATTTAAACCATTGCATGTGTTGACCTGATACCAATCTTTAAATGAAGCTTTATTTCATATTTAATGAGCTGGAGAGTCATACTAGTAACCAGGAACAGTCTTAAACCATGAAAAAACACAAGCTGACCAAGCTTCTTAAATCTCGATAACTGATTCCTCACAATCGTTTTCTCCCAGAACAGAAAAAAAAAATGTGAAAGCCCCGACCTCTTTCACTTTTATTAACTCTCTCCAACACACATGCATGCATGTACGCACACACACACACACACACACACACACACACACACACACACACACACACACACTCACACACACACACACACACACACACACACACACACACACACACACACACACACACCCTGCAGGGGAGACGGGGCAGTTGTTTAGACCTCCAACTGATTTGCTCACTGTGCAGGACAAACACAGCCAGGACTCTTCCCAAGACCCCTCATTAAACACACATGGACACACACACACACACTGCAAGAATCCGTTGCTGATTGGCTGTAGCTTTTGTCATGTTTATTTTCTGCAGTAAATCACCTCAGTGATTGTGTTCTTTATCTCCATGCCGTCACTTAAATGTAAAAGTATCGACTGTAAGGCTCTAAAAAAACTCGACCAAATGGAAGAAGATGTGATGTAATGTGATACCACTTACCCACTTAGCGATAGGACATCCTCGGGAGCTCTTCCCCTCTCTGCCTGTGTACACCACCTTCTCAATCCGGATGGCGTCCCCTTTCTCTCCGTACCTGCAGAGGGAGGAAAACACAGTTTAGCTCTTGCAGGTCCATCCACTTTAACAGAAAACTTTATCCTCCAATCAGGTAGCACTGATGTGGGTGGACTCAAAGAACGAGCACCAGAAGAAGACTGACTGCTAAAACTCTGCAACATTCTTTTGGGCCTCATGTTTTTTTGGCATGGCAGTTAATGGGTGTATAGTTTATTTAAAGGTCCAATCAGTGAGATGTGTAGTGAGTGAAATGATAAAGGTATCTTACTATATGATCATTAATGAAACATGCTATGTTGAAGTGCTGTCTTCTCTGACAACAATGCAGCAGCCAGTATGTCCTCCTTCTAACTTTAGATTCTGCTCCTGAATGCTCTGGATTTGTTTGGACCAGAGAAGGTAGGCGCTTTTAAGACACACCCCCACGCGGCCATTTTGGACGCCCCTTGGTTTGTCAGATATGAGAGCAGTTATCAGGTCAACAGGTGTTGCAGCGATGGAAGCGGTCAAGAGAAGTGGTTCAGATAGAAGTGATTGTACCCGACCTAAAAAGCCTCTGCATGTTTCTAATAAGCTCCACGAGCAGAAACGTGCTCAAACTAGGATCAATATTGGAGATGCTTTTGAAAAATGGAGAGAGGTTAGAACACAGAAAGGTTTACAGACCCATGCAGAGCTGGATAAACACTGAAGCTTCAGAGTCCACCACATGGTGACCTGTGTGAGCATTGACTCTAAAGAGGAGAGGGAGAAACAGCTCTCTACAATGTTTAGAATTTAGACTGCAGTACCCACTTTAAACACTAGGGGTCAGAGTTACATACTGCTTCTTTAATAGTTCAGCATACATTGTACTTTAATTTCTGTTTATTCCTTTCTATTCTTACTTTTATTTCACACTCGTCTTCTAGTCTTTTTACTGCTGCAACACTTGAGTTCCCCCTTTATGGATCCATTAATGATTATCTTATTTTACATCATCCAGACTACGCCTGACAGCCAGTCAGACGTGCGCTCTCTGTATGTATATTCACTATCCTAAAACATTAGAAACAACATGAATATGTAGGCTCTGTTTAAATGTATTAAATTCAACATTACAAACAACAGGACAACCACGTGGAAAATACTATTTTACTGAGCTCAACGATCCAACGGCTCAGATCAAACCCGCTCAGATGACCAAATGGTCGACTGGTGTCAAATGGTTCCACATTACAAAAACTTCTGGAAACACAGGACTAATGAAAAAGAGACACCGCTAGCTTGGTGCATCAGAAACGTAACAACAGAACAGCTCAGAAATAAGTCCATGACTTTCTCTTTTTTGGTCATAATTGACCTCATTAAAGGTGAGCATGTCTTAAGCCAACTAAATACATTTGCCGTTTCCAGCTCTGTGCCCACAGGAGTTCATGTTTGCTATTTACTCTTGAGGCAACTTGGACAAAGACAGAGCCACATCAGCAGCACTGGCTGGTGAGAAGTGTTCACAAGGCTCTGCTGAGATTCTCACAATCATGGTAGAGTAAACAGGATCCCACTATCCTCCACATAATGCCAGCGAGAGGGTCCTGTCTCGGTTATACGAGCTGCTGTTTTGCGTCCACAGGTGCATGCACAGGCTTATGTTGAGTACACACATTCCTATTTGTTTTGGGTGTTTTGTTTGTATGTGTCTGTAAACACCTGCTTTGGCAGATCATGGAGTGTTTGGAGATTATTTTTTTCTTCTTGTAGTCCTAATTAGAGAGACACAACGATGCATCAGCCGAACACTGGTACTGGTCCATATCAGGCCTGTTGACAAACATCGACCAGTTTGCAAAGAATGAGGCATGCATCGATATCAGTAGCTCATGTGTATCTGTTGTGTTGCATCAATTTAATGCTGGCAAGCTAGTGCGCCCAACTGCTGCTTCAGAGAGGAGGCAGAAGAGGTCGCCTGTTGGACTAACTTATTGGTTTGGATGGTCAGATAAAGAAAATGTGCACAGTGTCTTTGGAGTCATGCAGTTTGTAAGACATGCACCAGTGACATTGCAAGAGGAGGGACTAGCAACTATTTGAATACCTAAAATATCTTGGCACTTTTGAAAACAAGATGCAAAGAGTTACCAAGACGCTATGCAAAAAAACAGCACATATTGCAATCTGCCCTGATTTTTCCCCATCTGTGCATCTCCAGCTCTAATGGTCTGGGTGTGTATTTCAGAAGGACTATTGTCTATGAGGGTTCTCGTGATCCCTCGTCCCGAGGTCATAATCGTTCAAGGCGTGACTGGACTCTTGAAGTTCTTGCAGCGATTCACTTGTTTGAACGGTTTTTACTCAAACATGCTGGAGAGAATCTCTTCATGTGAGAAGTGAAACATCCTCAAAAACGTCTACAAGGTCTGGTTGTTTTTTCCCTCAAGCTTCTACATGCAGGTTTGTTGGAGAGTGGTGGGGTGCATGAGAGCAGAATGCGGGGGTCGGAGGTTGCACTGATCTGGGGACAGGTCAGTGGGACTTGTCAGATGTCGGCTCACGGTTCATATCAGGTCTCCTGCCTGCCTGACACCTACCATTGTAAAAAGGTCAGCTCTGAGCAGATCCCGCGTGACAGTGAAAACAAAGGGCCCCGTCTGAAAAGGAATCGGCCAGAGGTGGAGAGAGAGTGGGAAGGGGAGGAGCCTCTATAACCACAGGGGTGGCCTGTCCGGGTCAGAGTTGGGTCAAAGGTCATCCAGAGACATTGAGGACCTAACTCTTACATCATCTCTCCAACCACAAAGAGCGGAGGTGCAACATCCCCGCTCAGTAAGCCAGAGCGTTCCTCAGACTAATGACCAGTTTGGCCCTTTGTCTACAGATCCTCATTGAGTAACTGCCTGATGGGTGGACAATGATGAAAGATCAGTCCTGGAAGCTTAGCAAATAATATGATCTGGTTTTAGAAATTCACAACATTGTGCACATTGCTCTTGCAATATTTTAAGGTTTATTTTGGGTCTTTCTTTAGACATAATAGGTCAGTGGATAGAGATAGAAATTGGGGCGAGAGGACTCTAGCCTCCGTACATGTGGCACATGCTCAAATCACTCGGCTACAAGCGTCACAAATCAGCACTTTATTTTCTAAAGTTCAGATGTGAAGCTGCACTGAATAAATACCAAACACAAGCATTACATTGTTTTGGTTCGGCTGTCAAGTGAGTCATGTACATGTTGTGAGCTGAGGACCTAATTACAGTAAGTAGTTGCTAATTAGCATGCTAATTAGTAGCATACTGGCTGCTTATTAGTCATTGTTAAGCACTTATTAGTAACTTGTTGTAGTTAACAGGTCATTAACAAAGAGTTTGCCCTCCTAATTACTGCTTACCCGATAGTGAGTTAGGACGCTGTTAAACATGAATTATGATCTTAATATGCTTTGCTAAATTTAGTAATTAGGAGGGTAAACTATTAGTTAACCTATCAAGCTCAACAGTGACCGCCCACTTTTTTGGCTCCTCTGGTTCCTGAAGTAATTTTCACCGTTCAAATCCTCCATTGACGTTTCACAAATTCCTTATATCAAGAGATTTAAGCCTGTAACCATGACAACCAGCTACTCCAATACTCGTGACTGTAAAATATATACAATAAAGCGTTAAAAACGTAGAAAAAGGCTAAGGTACAAGACTGTGTACTTAATGTTTCTTCCGGAGTCAATGAACTACACATCCCACAATGCATTGCCAATGATACCTCTTCCTCCTAAATGTAACTTTAGTCGTTGTTTTTAGTGTTCATTCTGTTAATACACATGTTGTACTATGTTACAGTTTGTGTTGTTGAATACATAAATTACATTAACTGCATCATATCAAAGTTATTAGTACAATTGCTGACAGCTAGCTAGCCTGCTAGCCAAACTATTTGTTTGCATTCGGCGCACCTAAAAGCCTAACAAGGGACAAGAACTGCAAACCAGCCATGTCTATAAATAGCATAAACAAATTGACTTGATTTTAGTGCCCAGTTTATATCACACGTTCTTCTAAAACGTGTATTTCTATCTTCCTTCCCGCCTCCGTTGTCATCTTGTGTCATCATCCCATCATCTATTTGTTTGTCCTTCCTACAATAAATCCTTTCACTCTCAGCTATCGTCTGCCTGTACTCATGAGCCTCCTGCTCTGCCTCTGATATGCTGATGATGCTCGTACTTTCTGTTCCTCCTACTGGATTCTGGGTCACAGATTCCCTGAGGACACGCAGTGAGGAGGAGGGGGGGGAGAGAGAGAGAGAGAGAGAGAGAGAGAGAGAGAGAGACAGGAGGAGGAGAGAGAGAGGATGAGGGAGAGAGAGAGAGGGAGAGAGGGGGAGGGAGGGAGAGAGAGAGAGAAGAGGAGGGAGAAAGGAGGAGGGAGAGAGAAAGAGAGGAGGTGGGGAGAGAGAGAGGGGGGAGGGAGAGAGAGAGAGAGGGAGAGAGAGAGGGGGAGGGAGAGAGAGAGAGAGAGAGAGAGGGAGAAGAGAGAGAGAGAGAGAGGAGGGGGAGAGAGGAGGGGGAGGGAGAGCATGTAGGAGGAAGAGAGAGAGAGAAGAGAAGACAGAAGGCTCACCTCGTCTCCATCAGGTCTCGTATGGAGGCCACTGTAGGTCCAGATCCCAGGTGGTTGTAGTAAGGCCCTTCATCCTTCTCCAGGATTTGTTCTAGAAAAAAAACAACAGACCGGACAGTGTGAGATAGCTGCACCTGAAAATGTTTTTAAATATAAATGTTTGAACCGTATTCAGCAGATTCTAATAATGTGATTTTATGTGGTGTGGTCGTTTATTTACTCCGATATGAAAACATCAGATCTTAATATTATTATTATTAAATCTTGTTTTTATGTATTTCAAACTCATATTAGTATAAAATCTACACTTTAGTGTTGTAGTACTCAAAATTTATCTTGGTCTCAAGACTGGTTCCTCTTGTTTTTATGTTTTTATGCAACATGACAGAAGCAGGGACCCCTGTTACAGACACTGTATCATGAACTGTTTATGAATTTTATAAAACATTGGCACAGAAGAGTTTGAAACTAATCTTTCATATCAAAGATCATTGTTCAGCAGCTTCAGTGTTTATCCAGCTCTGCATGGGTCTGTAAACCTTTCTGTGTTCTAACCTCTCTCCATTTTTCAAAAGCATCTCCAATATTGATCCTAGTTTGAGCACGTTTCTGCTCGTGGAGCTTATTAGAAACATGCAGAGGCTTTTTAGGTCGGGTACAATCACTTCTATCTGAACCACTTCTCTTGACCGCTTCCATCGCTGCAACACCTGTTGACCTGATAACTGCTCTCATATCTGACAAACCGAGGGACGTCCAAAACGGCCGTGTGGGGGTGTGTCTTAAAACCGCCTACCTTCGGCAGTAGCTCAGTCTGTAGGGACTTGGGTTGGGAACGAGGGTCGCCGGTTCAAGTCCCGGTGCAGACCAAATATGGAAGTTGGTCTGGTAGCTGGAGAGGTGCCAGATCACTTCCTGAGCACTGCCGAGGTGCCCCTGAGCAAGGCACCAAACCCCCTCCCCACCACCAGCTCAGGAGCGCCCGCTGTGGGCCGCTACGTCACTCTGGCTTCTCTCCATTAGTGCATGTCCATGGGATCCTGTTTCTGCATGTGTGTGTATATTTCAGCTTATGTGTGTGTTCATGACTTACAGAGTGTAAAAACTGAAATTTCCCCTTGCGGGGATCAATAAAAGTTAATCTTAATCTTCTCTGGTCCAAACAAATCCAGAGCATTCAGGAGCAGAATCTAAAGTTAGAAGGAGGACATACTGGCTGCTGCATTGTTGTCAGAGAAGCCAGCACTTCAACATAGCATGTTTCCTTAATGTCTGATTATATAGTAAGGTACCTTTATCATTTCTGGACATTTAAATAAAGACTGTCCCTCAGAACATAACAGTACCACTTGGAGCTGAAGGTTGTTGGAAAATTTAAACAGAGTAAATATCTCATTGGACTTTTTATTTTTTCAGTTCTACCCTCACTTTGATCAGTAAAGACAAACATCCTTTTTGAAGCTTCAGCCAAGTCATCATTTGAACAGCGTGAGAATGTTTTACTCATTGCTAGACACACACGCACGCACGCACGCACGCACGCACGCACGCACGCACGCACGCACGCACGCACACACACACACACACACACATGAACTCACGTACCCTCACAATGACCTTATTTTAAGTGTCAAAGCGTGTTTGATCTTTGTCCTTAACATGCCTGTCACATGACTACAGTGCTCTGTACAGTGTGTAATGAACTTTGCATTGCCTGGCTCAGCGACACAGCTTGCTTCGCATTTTCAACCTGGATTGTTTTGAAGATCTTTTTCATGGCTTCTTCTGTACACCGTGCTGCTTTGTCTTGGAGTAACGGTCCCTCTGGATCACAACATTAGCGAAATGCTCTGAATGGTAATGCTCGACGCTATCAGCTAATGACATAAGATGTGGATACACACACGCAGTGGTGAGTGTATCTCTGGTTCAGAGGCAACATGAGGTCACATTCCCTGTTAATGCAGGGAGGCACCGGGGCGTGGCTGGAGGCAGGAAGTGGAGGAGTCCTACTAAATTCTTGTGTGTAATCTGGTTGAGTGTGCATGTGTGTCACACTAAGGTTTCACACTCTTTACGCCTGTGTGTGTGTGTGTGTGTGTGTGTGTGTGTGTGTGTGTGTGTGTGTGTGTGTGTGTGTGTGTGTGTGTGTGTGTGTGTGTGTGTGTGTGTTGGGAGTCTCATTCCAGTGCAGTTCTGTTATGGGGAGTTGACAGGGGCAGTGTGTAAGTCCGAGTCCCACTGAAGAGCCTTGTTTGTCTGCCTGTTGTTACTGTTAGTAACAAGTGTTTGGCTGCAGCTGCTCTCTCCCTGCTGTGCAATCATTTCACTGTTAAGGGACAGTAAGGGTAGATTTCCCCAAACGTTAACCCCTTCATAGCCTCATTGCCCTACAGTTAACAGTGGAGGTAATCTGCTGGTTACTTCTCTTTATTCATGCATTGCTGCGAGCCAGAAAAGTGTTTCAACACAGAGGCTGAGGCAGTGTTTCTAAAATACTGAAATCTTTTCATGGACAGATTTCGGTTTTTAATAAAAAGCAGATCTTTAAAACGATAATAATGTTGGCGTATCGAATGGTAAAAACCTCCATTACAAATTCACCTCACAGTCATTTCTATTGATTTCTAATGTAGGACCACCTACTGTGCTGTAAACAAATAACCTGAGCAGGCGTGCCCCTCAAACCACGGGACTGAACTCTTCCTAGCTAACAAAGGCTACGTCCTGCTTGCCTGCCAGACCCAAACTAACACAAAAGCCTCCTTCTGCCACCACAGCTATTGTGACTGTCGCTGCCTTCGCTGCCTCTCACTGTTACAGTCTGGATGGTCACAGCCACACACCCGGTGACACACACGCATTCATAGACACACTTTACATGCAGCCAGATGCTAAATCAGACGAGGACTGAAAAACCTCATAGTTGAGCTGCGTTGTTCAGTAAGTTCAGTAAAGCCAATACCTTGACACAATAATGGCTTTAGCTTCTTAGGTAGACATGAACATCTTTAGATTTAGAAAATAGTTCTTCCGAAAAAGTCTAAAAAGGTCACATATTATCTAAAATCCACTTCACCATGTTTCTCTAACTCTAACATGTGTCTCTAGTCCGTCTACAAACCCCCCAATGATGAGAAAAGTCCATCCTTTCCATCTTCTGCCTGCTCCACTTTTCAGAAAATGTGTGCGCAAACAGGCCGTTTGGAGATTTTCCCTTCATGACATCACAAAGGGCAGTAGCCCCTCCCCCAGGTGGGTGACACTCCCACAGCTAGGTGTTTGTTCTGCCCTCTGAGTCTGCCTTCTCACTGTAAACAATAGGACATGGAGCGAGAAAGACCGAGTACACCCAAGCCCTTCCAGGGAGGGGGCGTGGTCAGCCACAGCTCATTTACATATTTAAAGGTACAGACACAGAAACAGCCTGTTCTGAGCAGGGCTGAAATAGAGGGGTTTATAGACATGATCAAATACAGGATCAGAGTGGATTTAGAACAAGAAACTTCACACACATGTTTTGAGGAGCTCTGAGACTTATTTAAACTAGTTGAAGACGAGGAGAATATGTCACTTTTAACGAAACCCATCAGACTTTTGAATGCTTCTACCTCTACTACTAAATTCTGATACTTGAAAATAAAATGGTTTTTTTTACTCCCAGGTGAGTGGATAGTTTTTTCTGAGTGTTTTTCTATTTGTCAAAGCATAATTAATCATGTCCAAGAAATCTTCATGTCGATGGACAGTCACCAAATTGTCACCGAACTGTGACACTTTGACTTACCCACACAGGTGCAGGTAGGGAACTCTGCCTGCAGGTCCTTGGATGGTGTATCCAGTAACGTCTTGGTGGGGCTGTCTAGATAGCGTAGAGGAGACTCCAGGAAGCCTTTGAGAGATGGAGAGGAAGGCAGACTGTCCTTAGTCGGCGTGTCCTCTTCAGAATAGCATGTGGTGGAGAGTACTGTTATATCCCCAGAGGCTTCAATCTTCATGCGTTTAGACAATGGAGAACCTGGCATGCTGAACATATCCTCTAATACACTCGGCTGCTGCTGCTGCTGCTGCTTCTCTAGAATGTTACCCTGAGCCAGAGGGACTTGTTGGGTACCCTCGTGCCGTTTCTCATATGTGCTTTCAGTGGATGCCTGGTTTAAGGTTTCTTCCATTGGAGTCGCTGTCTCATCCTTAATAGCTTTCATCTCATGATCATTTTGATGATTTGTGGAGCTGGCTTGAGTGGTAGGAAATAAAGAATCTGACTGGGATTTGGGTGTTGATGTAGTACTGAGGTTTTGTGGAATGGTCTGGGACTGGCTCCCCCACTGAGGGGCTGTAGCAGTCCCCTCCATGGGCTGACTGGCAAGTGCATCCGGGGCAGAGTCCCCAAATTCAGCCTCAAACTGGCGGATCAGTTCTTCATACTTCGGGTCTATGTTGGTGAGACTCTGTAATTGTGACGTGCTAGATGGCGATGTGGAGGTCAGAGGTGTGGTGGTGCTGGTGTTACTTGAGGCCTGGTTGCCTGTTTCCTCTGACTCCGCATAGGATACAGGGGCCCCAGGGGGGGGCAGACGGCCCATGAGGGCTGGAGTGTTTTCTGACAAGGAGGGGACGAAGGAAGAGGGAGTCATTGAGGAGTTGGAGAGAGATACCTGAGTTTGGGCTGGGGCAGGGAGGCCTGCAGCAGCAGCCTGAGTGGAGTTACTGTGGAGGGGCAGAGAGGGGGGACAACCTGGTGGCAGGCTGTTCAGGGCTGGGGCTCTGTCCATCATGTAGACGGGCGTTTTTTGTACTGAAATCTGAGTCTGAGGCAAGAAGGTTGGCAACGAGGCTTTCTGCTTGGTCTTTTTAATGATTATCTGTTTGGGTTTGGGCATGGGAGGGAATGAAACCATGCCACTCATAGCTTTTATGACAGGGGATGCTTGGCTGCTTTTTTTCTTCTTGGGCTCCTTAGGTTCCTGTTTGATGGCCAGATGTGGCAAACCTTCTGCCTCCATCTGTGGCCACCACTTCTTCAAATTTTGGCACGCTATTGGTGCACGAGGGCCCGGCGATCCTAAGCCAGGGGAGTGGTTAGAGAAGAGGTTTCTCTTGTAGTGAAGATGCTGTTGCAGAGCTGCCTGAGTGGAGTGGCTGATGGCTGCCTGGCCAGGAGACAGGGGAGTGCCAGGATAGTGCTGACTCTGCTGCTGACAATTAGCTATGCCGTAATGTCCCATGGAGGCAGTGTGATTATAGTGCTCACCAGAGTCTGGCTCTTGTTTTATCTTGGCCAATGCTGGGTTGTCCTGGGCCTGAATTCCACCATTCTGGCTCAATCTGAGCTGCTGCGTGACTGGATGCTTGAAAGCATTGCTGAATTTGCCACTGGTGTCACCGAGCAGCTGTTTGAGCTCGGACATGGGGTCTAAGTTACTCTGAGGTGAAGCTGCAAAGTTGGAATGAGGCTCAGACTTCACACACATCCATTGGTTCTTCTGTTCAGACCCTCTGCCTGAGCCCTGCTGCCACTGCTGGGGATTAGGGTTGAAGCCTGGATGTTTTCCCTGACTTGGGAAGGGAGAGGTAGAAGATGAGAGAGGGGTAACATGAGGCGGCTGGCCCTGGGATTGGGGCCTGTGATGCTCATAGGACATTGAGGCCGGCAGGCTAGTGTGTAGTCCTGGAGGGACGGATTGAGACCGGGAAGAGGATGAATGAGGGCCGGGGGAGGATGAGATCAAGCTGGTGCCATTGGGGGGCTGAGAGTGGAGGCTGTGAGTGTGTTGGTGGTGATGGAGGTTACTGTTGTACGGGGATTGACTTGGAGAACTGGCAGCTTGTGGACCAGTAGCAGATAACTGAGTCAGGGCTTCTATGGCGATGGCGGTCTGCAGACTGACGTTCTTTTCCTTGGCTATAGAGAGCACCTGGGGAGAACAGGGAATTGGGGGTCTGGAGCCGGGCACTTGGTTTGTATGAGGGCTTTGATGCTGGGAGAATGATGAAGAAAAATGATGGCCACCATTCACTTGGGGGTAGGGCTGAGGGCGATGTTGCAAATGGAGTTTAAGTGGTTGGGGCTGTAAATGCGGAGGTGCGTCAACAGTCTTGCAGGCGCCTTGATCCTCGTTGGTCGCCAACTTGATCTTCTTCTCCAGCCACTCGAGATAGTCTGGACAGTCAGGCCCGTCACAGTTGCAGTTAGGGGGCTTGTGTCCATGTTTGGCTTGGCTCAGTGCTGTTTGTAGAGTGTTCAAGTCTTCTGGAGGTTGGCAGCTACTCCTCGGAGCCCCCGATGGGACTCTGGCCTGAGCTCCTTCAGCACCCATCTCCTTGGTGAACTTCTCATAAAGCTGGGCCGTGTTGGGCTTCACGAGGCAGGAAGAGGAGGAAGAAGGAGGCAAGGAGCCAGCAATAGCAGAGAAAGCCACCAGATTGTGGGCGTCCTCCATGTTTGCGTGGTGGCCAGGCTCACCAGTGGTTGTACTACTGCTGCCGCTCCAACATGGTTGCTGTTGTTGTGGGGTGTCACTGACCTTGCCATGTCCTGACACCCACTGTCTTGGGGGCACGCTTCCAGCCCTGTGTTGTTCCGTTTCCATAGAGGTGTCTTCATTGTTAGGGTAGGGATTCAGCCCATTGGCCAGTTCCAGGCTCAGCACGCCTTCCTGGAGGCGGTCATGTGACCCAATTTCCATCTGGCCACCACTTCTGGGGCCATCCACTGAAGCGACTTCACGAACAGTCTGAAAGACAAACAGGGGAGGGAGGTTAGTGAGGCAACAAGAATCCCAGGAATCCAGGACTGATGAGCAAATCAACGTCACACATAGTACAGAGTACCCAAATATTACACAATAATATCAGGCGCCATTCTCTTCTTCTGAGCTCATAACCAAGGTTTCCAATTCAGCTCTTACACATTTATTACACATATAGAATCCCAGGTCAGTTGAGCAAGGGAAGACTAAATTAATTATAGTATCAGTGGAGTGTCACAGAGGTCATGTGAAGGAGTTTCACTGTTGAAAAATCGGCCCTCTGCTCCGAGTCAGTTGGGCTATGCAAAGCAGGCAGATGGAGATAAAACATGTCTGTGTGTGGCAGAAAGGGAGACATTAAATACCACTGGAGGGGAGAAACACAGAACATCTGTGAAGTCTTAATCACTGAGGATATATCAAACCAAATACTACGGAAACATGAAAAATAGTTTGCAAGCTGCAGGTGAAATACACACCACTGGAGAGATGATCTCAAAACCCAAGAAAATATTCAGCCAATAGTCATCCTTAAAAGGCAAGCATGAAACGACCTGAATATCTCCAGACAGGTACGTACAAAAAATAAGATGATCGGTTATGGACGGGATTTTAGACCATACTGAGGCAGAGAGAGCTGCTGCAAGGGTTGAGCTACAAATCCATTAGTCAAGAGTGAAGAAGAGTCTAGTTTGAAAAATGTGCTGCTTCATGATAATTACAGCTGTCAAGGCAGAACCCTCCCACCAGGAGTTTTACTGTTCAATTTCACATCACAAGTGTAGCAACGTTTGATGCCCTCAAACTATCTGACCAATCTCCTTAGAGAGGGCGGGAACTCCCTAATGAGCAGGGAACAAATATTTACAGAAACATTAAAAATGTAATTGCAAATGAAATGCTAATAAAGGAAGAGTCGAGAGGGAGGCCAGGTGCTGCAAATATTATTATAAAGTGTGCAGTCTAGTAATGCTCTAGTTGGGTTTTTTCAAGATCTTTGGTTGTCATTGGGCATATTTAAATCAAACTTTGTTAAATGATTAAGTGAAGATGCACGCTCAGAGATGGATATCTAGTATTAAACTATTTGTTGACATGTTTAAATAGATGCTAAATACATCCTGTGACTGTTTTGAGATCACCTCATTAAAGGATAACGGTGATACAATAGAATAGAGAAATATGGCCAAACTTAACTTCCCCACAGCTCAGATGCAGATGTTTAAACATGCCTTTGTTTCTTCCCGTTTGGATTACAGTAACTGTTATTATATTTGTATAATTAGTATGGGCACGGAGGTTCCTGGTTTGAATCCCCGTCTGACAGGAGCCTCTCTGTGTGGAGTTTGCATGTTCTCCTCGTGAATGTGTGGGTTCTCTTCCTCCCACAGTCCAAAGACATGCTCGTTAGGTTAACTGGTAACTCTGAATGTGAGTGTTGCTGGTTGTCTGTCTCTATATGTCAGCCCTGTGATTGGCTGGAGAACAGTACAGGGTGTAACCCTCGCCTCTCGCCCAATGACAGCTGGGATCAGCTCAGGCCACCCCCTGCGACCCCAAACAGGAAAAGTGGTATAACTAATGGATGGATGGAACTAGTATAAAATGCTGCTGCCAGACTAATAACCAGGTCCTCCAAAAGGTCACATATCACTCCACTACACTTTTCAAGATTCTTACTTCTAAAGCGGCCTACCCTCCCGGCAGATCTCTCAGGTCTTCTGGTCAGGGTTTGCTGGTATAGTCCCACACACCAGACTGAAGACCGAGGGAGACTCTGCTGTTCAGGTTGTAGCGCCAACACGGAACGCTCTGCCTCTGGGTTTAAGATTTGAGGTCACCGTTGACTCTTTTAAAAAGCAACTTAAGACCTCTTTGTTTCCACTTGCTTTTGATTCATTTGTTTTGTATAATGTTGATTTGTTTCTGTTTGTTCTCATCATCTTGTAAAGCACTTTGTCACTCTCTGCTCTTGAAAGGTGCTCTAACCTCCAACGTTTACATTTATCTTTTTCAAATGATTCCTCCATGAACTTCTGTCATCAACACTCTCTGTTTCTTGACTCATAAAGAAGATAAAAGCTCATAAAGACTGCTGCTCCTGATGATTGGCAAATCCCATATAACCTGCTCTGCAAGTGAATCAACCCCTTTTACCAGAAGAGGAACAAGGTAATCTGTTTTTGCTGCTGTGTGAAACGTGCGTTTTGAAACAGCAGCATGAGAAGCTTTAAAGAGCCTCTCAAACACACCAATCAGGCGACGATCAGAGCTGCCACATATCTCACTTCCTCTCTGTGTCAAAATTGGGACAGTTACCAAAATTGGTGGTTTTGACTGAAAACTGCAAACACATCACCTTGTTTCACTTGTGTCAAAATGAGATGTGATACACAGGGGCGGGGGGGCGGGAAGGGGGTGACAGTAATGAGGACAAAGTGTAGAACATAAAAAAGCCACAAAGCAAAAGTAAAATGTGGAGCTTCAATCCTACAAGTTTCCGACTGTTTTAAGTCCAGGTAAGCTCTCCTTATTTTATAATCAAATGAGTTCTGTGGAGGGAAAGCAAACACAAGAGGACTCAAGGGGCAGGCTCCAGGAATCATTGACAGAGTTCATGTTGTGACTAACACGTGCTAGCTAACAGAGCTGGGAGACGCTTTGAGAAGAAAAACAAGTGTACTCATTCTGCACATGCAGTTTCTGTATCGATGTAAAGAAGCCAACAGGCTTTATAAAGATACTCCAAACAAGTATTCACTGGGGGCCTCACACTGTTCAGCAGCTTGTACTGTAAAGACCTGCAGACACTTCACTGACAGAAGACTAACCTTAAGCTGTTTATTTCCCTACCCCGTATGTTCAAACATCAATATTAACTAGAAGTTTCCATAAAGAGAAACTGTATTTGTAGATTCTCCAGCGTTTGACGGTTGCAGCGAGCCTGATGTCCAGCTTCCCCATCATTTGAATATCAGCCTTTGAAGTGGCTAATTACTGGAGAGGCAGCCTTTTGAATACACCTTCTGCGCAGTGTGTCTGCAGGGGGTCCCGGCGGGGTGGTGGTGGTGATGGTGTGGGGTTGGAGAGGAGGGGAGGGTCAGGGGTGGGCAGTGAACAGCCGGCATGCAATACGTGAGAGGCCCCATGTCTGCGCTATCAGAGGCAGTAGACAGGGGAAGAGGAAGGGGGGGGGGGTCAGCTGTGCACGGCAGTTATGAGAATTGCAGTGTGTTGAAACAGAGACTGCACAATCTGAAAAAAAACCCACAACCACTATCAGTCACACAGACAGACCCTCTTCTTTACAAGCAGACAAAAGTCACACGGGTTTAAAGCTCCACTCAACTTTACAGTGCAGATCATTAATATCACACTGACACTCTGAATGTGTAGTTCCTTGCAGGACCTTCATGTACATCTCCATGGGCTTTTTTTTGCACTCACACCTGCAGCGCTTAACACCTATCAGGCTGCCTGGGACTGTGCAGACCGCGTGCTTTGACAAATATTGACACCGGGACAGAGCCTACACTCAGGAGCTCACCTCTGTCCTATTTCTGTGTGACTCTTTTTTCAGACACACACACTACTGCACAGTCTAGACACACAACAAAAAGCAGCAACACACCTAACCAGATTGCATTGTTGCAGAACCTGACTGACAAGACACCTGAGACTCGGAGCCCTTTAAAACATGAGGGCAAAGCAAAGGGACTGTGCAACACTGACAGAGCTATAAAAAAAAAAAGAGGGAGGAGACAAAATGTTTTAAGATTTGAGGGAAGGTGAGGGGGGGTCAGATTGTCTGCTCACAAGTTCAGCTTGTGAGTACACAGCTGAACCTAAAACATCAAGATACACAACCTCCTTCATCCCCTGTCCCCTCCTGCTGCTGCTGCTGGAGGACCATGAGGCAGATCCTCTGACAATAAGAAGCCGGCTGAGCACTGGAGGAGCAGCAGCGGGCGCATACTTACATGGTCCTGAACGTCCTGATGAGACAGCCGGTCGGAGAGCAGAGCGCAGAAGAGGAGACAGAGAGGAGGAGCATGAGACTTGTTAGCCCGGCCACAGCAGCTTAAAAGCAATCCTGGTCTGCTTGGGTTGTATTCCTTTTATTTGATTTCTTTCAGTCCGCGCGGCGCACAGACAGAGCGAGCGCCGAAGTACACATGCATGCATTCACACACACACACACACACACACACACACACACACGCACACAAACACAACACACCTCCCCCCAGCACGGCATGCACGTTTCTCATTCTCTCTCTCGCCCTCTTCTTATGGCAGACGCTTTCTGTTTTCTCCTTTTTCCTCTCTCATTATCTCCTGTCTGCTCCTCCCTTCCCCTTTTTTCAATATCCTCTTTCTTTCTCTCGGCTACATATGCAGTCGGCTTCTCTTCTCAAGCCCCCACCTTCCCCCTTCTTTCTCTCTCTCTCTGCCTCCCTCCCTCCCTCCATTCCCCTCCCTCTCGTGCAGCCTCTCCCTCCATCTCCTCTCTCTCTCTCTCTCCTCAGTGTAGGGCAGAGCGAGAGGCCATTATCTGAGCCACAGCGGGCACGTACGATGGAATGGAGGAGTGTGCAGTGAGCAGAAACAGAGCGAGCTGTGGGGGGAGAGTCACTAGCAGCAGCAGCCTAGGAAACAGCAGGGCTCTCACCAATGAGAAGCCCCCTCTCTCTCTGTCTCCATGCCCACTGACACTACTTGCTTTATTGCATTAGATTATTTTTTTACACATAATGCTTTGTTGTGTTTGTGTTTATCCGCTGACGCCGAGTGTATGCAACTTCAGCTGTGACAGAGGTTCTCTGTGTAGATGCGAAAGCGGCGGCTACCGAAGCAAAAACGCGATCTCAACTCAACAACAGAATCATCAGAAAAAGGAGCCAAAAGAAGCAATGTGTGTGCCTCCTGAAAGTGAAAGCTGGTCCTTCCTTATGGGGATTCTGTTCCATGTTTTGCACATCTGGATTCGGCTCGGCTAAAAACAGGTGACGCCAATAAGAGCTTCTCAATCTTTATTTCTTTCCATCCATATTTAACATTCATGGTCTCACTTTTAACAAAACAAATCTTCAGTTCACCTCTGTTCGATCATAGATCCTCAAGCACGGCAAGCGTGCACAAGAAAGAAGAGGAAAGGTTGGGTACCGAAGGGAGAGGCGGTCGGCTTGCTGGCGCTCGTCATGCTTGCCCCTTCCACCGAGAAGAGGCAAAAGGAAAACAGACGAGATGGGAAAGCTAAGGGTTAGCATTTCTACTCGTTAATCGACTCTCTGCAGCCGCTCAATAACCTGCAAGGGATTAGAGAACGGGAGGAACATTGGCTCGATGATTTCAGAACGGCTAAAAGAGCAAAGCGATGAAGAGGGAGTTAGCGGGTGACACTTCGACACATCGGCAAAGCAAGAGTAGCAGGAGGAAGAAGAGAAGGGAACAGAGCGGATTAGACCAGGGAGGACGAGAGGAAGAGCTAAACAAAGCAAAGAGTCACTTTTTTTTGTTCATGTGATTGACTCTGTAAAAGATGATGCAGAAGAGGGTACAAACAGAAAGACGGGAGGCGGCGGGTTGCTGCCGGCAACAGCAACTGCAAATAATCAACCCATCACAGTTCGCTGGGAACAGGACGAGGATCCTCTCCTGAGCGCCAGCCTACAATAACGTCCTTTTTGTGATTCTCTCCTCACCATCGCTCTTCCTTTGCCGTCATCATCATCATCATCATCATCATCACCACGTCTTCCTGATCGCTGGATGCTTCGTCTTGCCCACTTGGCCGGCCGACTGGCCCTGTGGTGTCTCCTCTCTTCTCTTCAACATTGCTGGACTTTTGGAGCAGATTGAAACAGGAGGACGAAAAAACATGGCCGTCTCCCCCCCGTGCAGATCGCTGTCAGCTCTCCCGTTGTATCTTTCTCTTATATTGCTGAGGAGGAGCGGTGTGACGGCTACCCGGGCGCTGTGGCTGGATGGACTTCAGTAGCCTGTCTTACTTTGACTTTTCCCTCTTTCTCTCTCTTGATCTCTCATTTGCTCCGGCTTTGTCAAAGCGCCTCTGCCTCCTCGCTCTCTCGCTTTACTCTCTCTGTTTTGTTTCCTAAGCTTTTTTCCTCTTCTAGGATAGCTTATTGCATTAAACCTCATGACGCAGCCGCTCTCCGGCCCCGCACATTGAGCGCTGTCTGTCTCTCTGGTGCCACACATATTCCTATATGTATATATATATATATATATATATATATATATATACATACACACAGACGAGCGTCAATCCCAAAGAAAAACACGGCGCAGGGAAGGAGAGGAGAAGTAGAGCATTAGGTCACATGACCAGGGAGTGCCAATGAGCAAGAGAGAGAGAGAGAGAGAGAGAGAGCAGTGAGCGAGGAGAGGTTAGGAAACACATGTGGTGATTACGTAGCTGCGTCGTCATCATCAACATCACCCTCCTTCAGTGTGTGTCTCCCACCAGCTCACTCGCCTTCACCGCCCGGGTTTGGATGACACAATGTGCCCACTATCTGCCGCCGCCGCCAAAACCACACACCGACGGACGGACTCGCAGAAACATGCTCACTTACTCACTCACTCGCTCGCGCTGGCTTCACTCCCCCGGCTGCAGTGACACAGGGCAAGTGAAGCACATGATGCACCCTTCCTCTTTTCAGAGAACTGCTTCTCTCACTCTGACTCTTTCCCACATGCTGAAAACAAAAGCTTTCCGAACCGAAGAGCGAGTCTTGATTAGAGCTCGCGGAAACACGCAGTCATCAATCTGAGCATAAATGAATGACATCACACGGGCTCTGTAGCGTTCGTTTTTTTACATGAGCTGTCTCTATATTACAGCCCTGTGATTGGCTGGCTATCTATTACCTTGTGTAAATCAGTGTACTTCTTGTGATGAAAGACACAACAGAAAACTCAAAGTACTTGGTCTGTTTCGATTCTCTGATTTTTTTAAATTTTCAAACCCCCCCCCCAAAAAAAAAAAGCCAACCAGAATTTAAATTTTTAGAAACGTACAGTGCCTAAAAACAGATCACAATAACTAATAATAGAGCTCGGAAACACGCAGTCATCACAGCTAAATTTGAGCATGAATTAATGACATCACACGGGGCTCTGAAGCTTTGAGCTTTAAAGACGATGTAGCAGAAACGTACAGCGCCCTAAAAACAGATCACAATAATTCACTTTCCCACGTTTGTGAAAACACAAGCTGAGTCAGTACCACATGCTCCACTGAATGAAACAGAGAAGTGCGATGAGAAAAAAAAAAAAGAGAAGAACCCTCAACGACTGGAAGATTCAGAAGCAGAAGTTAAAAAAAAAAAGCGAGCGTACAGAGGTGGATGGAAGTTTTTGATTCATCGATGACTCTGAGCAGGGAGCTGAAAGCGAGCGTCATTTCAGGGAAAAACATGGCTCTTTATTATCATTAATAACATCCATTACACTTGGCTTCTTGTTACAAACAGAGAGAGAGATGAAACAGAGAGACAAAAGTCCACAGAGAGAGAGAGAGCCGTCCTCAGATCACCTCCGGAGCTCAATGAGTTACTCTCCCACTAGACAACACAACAAGCTGACAGATTACTTAATAACTGGAATAGTCCTAAAAGTGTTCCAGGTTATATATTCCAGGAGAGCATGTCGACTTTAAGACATCAAAAATCAAACAAAAACATGAACCTGATTGTTCCACACTTACGGTAAACCTGCTGTAACCCGGCATTGAGAGAGAGAGAGAGAGGCTGCTTTCTCACATTGATCGCTACATCTCAGAATCAAGTCATATTATGGTTGTTTCACGCCCTTGTTCCTCGCTCTCTTATCCATTTGCCTCTCACTTTTCTGTCTCTCGCTCGGCGTTTCTCAGCAGCGCGGAGGAAAAGGTCTCCATGTAGGAGGGATGACTGACAACAAAAGTCTGTTCTCAGCGCTTGTGTGTTGGGTTGAGCGTTGCATGACTAAGCCTGACTCATCTTTCTTTTTCAACTAAAGTCCATGACATGAAACACTCGCACATTTTTTTTCACTGGTAGTGGGAGGTTTGGGTGTTTTTTTTCAGTTTTTTTTCAAAGGCTCGTATTAGTGATCATGAACCACATTAAAGGGTACGGCGTGTGACAAGATCTGTCAAAGAAACCATTCAACTTTCTCATGGGGGGGGGAATGTGCACCACGAAGGTTTAAAAAAACAAAAAACAAAGCACACATGAGCATCAGGGTCATGACGTGAGAGTCCTTCCCCCCCTCCCTCCACCTCTCACCTCCTCCTCCCCCCAGAACCCATATTGCCCTGCGGTCTAATAGCATCAAGGTCATCTGATCTGACACACTCTGTGACTCTCTCCTTCCCCCCTCTCTCTCTCTCTCTCTCTCTCTCTCTCTCTCCCCTTGTCCCTTTATCTTTAACTGTCTTTTCCCTATCCCACCCACCCACCCACCGCCAACACACGCCTGTTTTCTCATACCCTGCACACACCGACGACAAATGCAGAGGCACGCTTTAAAGTATTTCCCCCCCTCCCACACACACACATGCACACACACACACATGCACACACACACACACACATGCATGCGAGTATGCATACAGTATTGGATTGTTCTCCAGGGTCACTGGGTTTATTGGTGGGCCGGACTAGAGGCTGCAGAGCGAGTGGAGGCAACACAAAGTGCTTCAGCCTGGTTAAACAAAAAGGATCATTTCTCAGTCATGATTACATCGTTACTTTGTTTTCCCGCTTTTTTTCTCCATTTCATTAATTGATTGATTGAAAGTCTGGAATTAAAAGTAGACTGCCTGAGCAGGTTTGTACTTTATAGGATAAAGGTTAAAGCAGCGCTCGCTCTGTAAAGGCATGTAAATACAGGTACGTGTGTGTGTGTGTGTGTGTGTGTGTGTGTGACAAACAGGCTGTTCACATATTGCTCATATTTAAAGCATCATTTTGTTATTTTACCCTTGAATCTGTCTGTCTCTCTTTGTCTTTGTTTTCACTGCCATCTGCCCCCCCAACCCCCCCAACACACACACACACACACACACACACACACACACACACACACACACACACACACACACACACACACACACACACACACACACACACACCCCCGACCAACACGCTCCCGGGCAGGATGGTGTTGTGTTCAGGGTGTGTTTAATGTGTAGATCGTAGTACTGAGTGTAGCGTATCTGAGCCTGAGTCATACCTCCTGACTTTCGGCACGTGCAGGTCGGCACGAATAGCCCAGCTGGGGGGGGGGGGGGCTACCCTCGCTTACCCCTCCTCA